TTTATCCATCAACCACCCAGGGAAGGGATATGGATTCACACTAGAAGTAGATGAAAACCTAGAAAGAAGATGAGTTTAGAGAGAGAGAAGTCGTACCTAGGGTTTGGAAACTAGAAGAGGATGAAAAGACTGACAAAAACCCGCTGCTGCCTATTTAAACTGGACAGGCTCGCTCGAGCGAAGACTTGGTCGCTCGAGCGACCAGACACAGGAAAGCCTCGCTCGAGCGAAGAAAAGCTCGCTCGAGCCAAAAACTCGATGCTTCAGGTCTGCAACCCATAAGCTCGCTCGATCGAAGAAACGCTCGCTCGAGCGAAGAAACACTACTCTCAGGTCTATACTAGACGCAAACGCTCGCTCGAGCGAAGAAACCCTGGCTCGAGCCACCAGACACAAAACTCAACCATCGCTCGAGCGACCAAACTCTCGATCGAGCGACCAATCCAAATTCTGGACAGTAACACCTGGTTTCCAAACCCAACCAATCTAAAACAAACTTGCCCAACACATCCGATAACTCAAAAAGAGAAAATAAAGGATGACAACCACAATTATACATTGAGAGAATCCAGGGAACCTAAGTCTGGATACAACAACCAAAAGGAGAAAAAAGACCGGGGTCGCTAGAAGCAGCATGGGTGAATAAAATATTCGGAATAGTAGTGTGTGGTTTGTTGACTTGGTGTTGGTTTTTGGTTTTGGGTTGCGTGGGTTAATTTTGTGGGGATTCATGAATTTTATTTTTCTAGTTAAGTCCTTCTTAACTCTTGTTTAAAAAAAAAAAAAGGTGAGACCAAGAGGTTGGTTGTATTGATTCGAGTAGCAGTAGTAGGGGTAATTTGTACTTTCCGAATCTCTCTCGATGCATGTCATCTTCTTGTACCTTTAATTTCATGTTGTTAATGGAATTTTTCTTTGCTGATAAAAAAAAATTAGAAATTCGACCATTGAAGCTTAATAACTATTAATTAATAGAATTTAGCAATTGAAATGTCTCAAACCATGTCTCTTTGTCTTCTCAAATGTTTCATTTTTTGGTTCATGCATTCATTCTAATATTGATAGAAAATTGGACGTGTAAAAGAATGAGAGACATTAAAATTATATATTGAGTTATGTAATTGTTGTGATGAAAAAGAAAGGTTATCTTCATCTTCTATGGTGATTTATCTGGTTATTCTTCCAATTAAAATGTCAGGTGTGTTTCTGCATCATCATTGGATGTTACTTTCATTTTTTTTTTAGATACTTTGTCTCACAATTGTTTGTGTTTTGTGTTATGAAATTTATTGTATCTATACTTGCTAAAACTATTAGATGGACCTAATTCAAGAGGTGCAAATTATTTCAATGTCATTCTCATGATTAGAAGTACAAAAAATATACACAA